TGCTTGGCGAGAGTCAGCCTGGCGGGTCGGCGCGGCCAGGTGACGGCCGACTGCGACACGCCCACCTCGAACGCCACACCGTGGAGCATGGGCCCGTAGACAAGGAAGTAAGCCAGCGTCGCGGCAGGCACCGCCTGCATGCAAGTCGGCCCTCGTGGAGCCACGCATCTGGCGTTGGCCAGTTGGAGCCAGTCGTGCTCCAGCAGCTCCTGCGGGTACATATTGAAGCCGCCGCCGACCACCCAGGCTAGGCCAAGTCCTGCGGCCACCCGCTTGACATACTGCACGACTTGCCACGTCAGCGCCAGGTTGCGAGGCTACCTGCCCTCCCCTGCGCGTAAGTAGAGGGCCACCGCCACGAAGCCGCCAGGCACTGCAGCGCGGACGTCTGCGGCCACTGCTCTGCCAGGAACGATGACGCCATATCGTCCAGCAAGGGCGCCTGGGCGACGGTGATGTCGGCATTGGCCAACACGGCCACCCCGCCTCCCGTGTCTCCAGCCGTGGTCTGGAGCGCGGGACACCAGACTCCTCGCCAGCCCGCATCCTGGGCATCCCCCTGGACCTCAGGGAGCTTCTCGGCGCACGCGTGGTGCCCCTGCGCGATGACCACGTCGCTGGTGCAGTCTACCAGATACTTGGTCAAGGTGCCAAACGAATTGGCATTCACCGTGGTAATATGTAGGTTCGTTCTCGTCATGGTCGGCAATGCGAGGTCCTCAGATTGCGCATGGCTTCTTGACCTCCTTCCACTTTGGCTTGGCCAAGCGGATGCGCCCGACGGCGGCCCGCAGCTCCTCCTCGGTGGCGTCTGCGGCACCAGGGAAATCAGCGCCAGACCCACGCAGGAAATCACGAAGCTCTTCAGCGGAGGCCTGGTTGACCGATTCTTCCTCCTGGACCTCCTCTGCAGCCTCGCCCATGGCTTCGTCCTGCTGCTGCTCGGTGGCTTCAGCGGCCCGCCTATCATCCTCCTCCCGCTGAGTCTGGGCCTGCTGCTGCTGTTCGCGTCGGTGCTGGCGGAGCCTGCCCACAAGCGCAACCACCTCATGCTGCAGATCAGGAGCAGCCCCAGCAGCCAGCAGCACCTGCTCCAGCTTGGGCAGCGTCCAGCTGCTCTCGTCTTGCCCTGCTGCGGCTCCAGGCGGCGCCGTGGTCGGCTGCGGCATGGCACCCAAGAGCTGGACACGTTGCTCCTCGAGCTCAAGTAGCTGCCTGCGGGGCCCTGCGAGCGCGGCATCCTGCTTGGCGATCTCCGCCTGCAGGGCCTCCAGCTGCACCTGCTTCGATTCCCGAGCATGCTGATGCTTGGTGATCTGCTGATCGACCTTGGTGATCTTGAAGCCGAGGGTCTTGATGCGCTACGAGGGCGGCTTCTCCATGAACAGCTGCGCGCGCGCAGCTTGGTCTGCTCCTGCCTGTACTGGTCCACCAGCTTGGCCACCTCTGGAGCATCGACCCCCACCAGCTGCTTGAGAAGGCCGTCGAGCTTGTCCAGCCTCTTCTTGGCAGCCCATTCCGCACCTGGTTCGTCATCCCCTTTGTCGGCGTCGGTGGTCGGCGCGCTGGCCGAGGGACCCTTCGCCTTCGCCAGCTTGAGCTCCGCGGTGAGCGACCGCACCTGCTTTTGCATCTCCAGCAGCTGCGCCGAGATCGATCCCGTGCCTTTGCCTTGAGCGCCTCCTTGGGCCCAGGGCGCTGGCTTGGATGGGGATGTAGCTTTGACTGGGCCTCCGCAGGCGACGTTCTTGGCCAGGCCGCAACTGTTGCAGCACAGCTTGTCCGCGAAGTTAGCGTAGGGCTTATGGTCACGTCCCAGACACGTCTTGCAGAGCCTGTTTTGTCACGACGCGCTGCTCGAGCGCCTGGCTTCCCACCAGCGGCCGAAGGCGTCACTGCCCCTCTATCACAGACTCGGAAGCTGTGCCCACGAGAAGCAGACTGACGGCCAGGACGGCCACAGGAGAGAAAATCTTGCTGGTTGGTGATTGCCTCAAAGCACGAGCCCCCTCGCGCTCAGAGGCGCCCGAGAACGGACTCGCGGTCGTCGGGCGGTTCATAGCCTTGAGCCAAAATTGCTACGTGGGTGTGCGGGTGCGTGTGCGTGTGCGTGTGCGTGTGCGCGTGCGCGTGCGCGTGCGCGTACGTGTGCGTGTGCGTGTGCGTGTGCGTGTGCGCGTGCGCGTGCGCGTGCGTGTGCGTGTGCGTGTGCCTGTGCGTGTGCGTGTGCGTGTGCGTGTGCGTGTGCGTGTGCGTGTGCGTGTGCGTGTGCGTGTGCGTGTGCGTGTGCGTGTGCGTGTGCGTGTGCGTGTGCGTGTGCGTGTGCGTGTGCGTGTGCGTGTGCGTGTGCGTGTGCGTGTGCGTGTGCGTGTGCGTGTGCGTGTGCGTGTGCGTGTGCGTGTGCGTGTGCGTGTGCGTGTGCGTGTGCGTGTGCGTGCGTGTGTGTGTGTGTATGTGTGACTGTGCGTGTGACTGTGTGTGTGGCCATGTGTGTGTGACTGTGCGTGTGTGACTGCGTGTGTGTGTGTGTGGGCGGGCGGGCGAGCGGGCGGGAGGGTGTGTGCATTCGCCTCTAAGCACGGAGCGGGGGGAGTCCTCGAGGGGCTCGGAGCCCCTCGGCCCAAACTTCGTGGGGCTTGCCGCGGTTCCCCCCGTGACATTTCCGGATCCAAAAAGGCCCAGGACGGAGCAACAGGGCCCCAGGAGGCCCCCAAGACGGCTCAAGAGGGACCCGAATCGCCGAACGATCGTCCCAACACGCTCAAAATGGCCCCCAATCGGCCCAAGCGGCACGGCCCAAGCGGCCTCCGAGAGGGTCCCAAAACTGACCAAGAGGGCCCCAAGACGACCCAGGAGGCGCCCAAAACAACCCAAGAGGGCCCAGTCACGGCCCTAAAGGGGCCCAACAAGGGGAACACGAACCGAAAAGCCTAGCCGTTCGCCCCACGAGGCCCCCAGGAGGCACCAAGAGGCGCCCAGGAGGTCCCAAGATGCCCCCAAGAGACACCCAAGAGGCCCCGATGAGGCCTCCAAGATGCCCCGAAAGGCCCCGAAAGACCCCCAGAAGGGCCAACTAAGGCCCCCCAAACTGCCCCCTAAAGGCGTCCAAATTGCCCCCAAGAGGCCCCCGGGAGGCCCCCCACGAGACCCAAACGAAAGTCAAACAGACTTCATGCCCACAACCCAGGCATGGTCATGGTGACGGGATAGACTGAGGGCCATTATATATGTGTATATATACAGATATATACACACACGCGCATGCATGCATGCATGCATGCATGCATGCATGCATGCATGCATACATACATACATGCATACATGCATACATGCATACATACATACATACATACATACATACATTCATACATACATACATACATACATACATACATACATACATACATACATACATACATGCATGCATGCATGCATGCATGCATGCATGCATGCATGCATACATACATACATACATACATACATACATACATACATATATACATACATACATACATACATACATGCATGCATACATACATACATACGTACATACATACATACATACATACATACATACATACATACATACATACATATACACACATACATGCATGCATGCATACACCCACATGCATACACATGCATACATACAGGCATACATACACATACATACACATACATACATACATACGTACAAACATACATAAACACCTATGCACATACGCATATCCATTCCACAATCATGTCAATGTACACATATATAAGCGTATACATGAAATATACACATACTACACATTTGCGCATGCACATGCATATACGTGTACATCAACGTAAACGGGTACAAATACACATTCACATGAAAATGAACATGCATATACACATACCTGAACATATACATGACCAAATAATTCGCCGGCCCAACGGGCCAGAGGCGTGCTAAAATCTCCGGTAACTGCTCAACAATATTTCTAGTTCGCGCGCGCGGGGCGGGCCCTGGGGGTCCCCGGACGAAAAGTACCCCGGCAAGGTCCCGGCAAGGTCCCGGCAAGGTCCTGGCAAGGTCCTGGCAAGGTCCCGGCAAGGTCCCGGCAAGGTCCCGGCAAGGTCCCGGCAAGGTCCCGGCAAGCCCTCCAGACGGTCCAAGAGTGCCGGGAGACGCCGAAATATCACTCCCAAACGCCTGCGATGGCCTCAAGACGGCCCAACAGGCCTTCAAGACGCCCCAAGAGGTCCCTAAGCGGCGCCCCAAGAGGGCTCCCACAAGCAAAAATCGTCCCATTCCCTTAGGAAAGCGTGCATTTTTAACATATCCGCCTCTTCGTCTTTCACACCTTTCAAGGCGGTCCAAGAGGCCCCCAAGAACACCCCAAGACGGCCCGAGAGACCCTCTAGACCGCTCAAAGACGGCCCAAGAGCGCTCCAAGAAGGCCCAAGAAACCCTCAAGACGGTCCAAGAGGCCCCAGGATGGCCCCGTGATTGAGGTCCACAGGGGCAACCTGAACGGAAATTTTGAGCCTCCCGCCCAAACACGCCCCCGAAATGCCCCTACAAGCCCTTAAGTAGCCCCACGAAGCCCCCAAAAGAGCCCCAAGAGGCCCCCAACAGGCCGCAAGAAAGCCCCAACAGGCCCCCAAGAGACCCCCAGGAAGCTCCCAGGAGGCCCCCAAGAGGCCAGGCAGACCCCCCCAAGAGACCACCAAGAGGGCCCACCCAGAGCCATCCACGAGGCCTCCCAAAGTTCCCAAGAAGCTCCCACGAAGCTTCCAAAGGCCCCCAAGACCCCCCAAGACCCCGCGATGACACAATACGGGCAGGCGGAATGAGCGAAGCGATTCTATATATATATATATATATATATATATATATATATATATATATATATATATATATATATATATATATATATACACACATAAGCAACTACACATGTCATATAAACACCATGACAGCAAACATGTATATATCACCATTGATCCTAATCCCCGCGCGCGTAGTGGGCCTGCTCTGTATAGCAGGGTTCGATCTCTTTATCTGCCTGTATTTCTCCTGGCAAACAAAAAATGGGAACGATCGTACGGTGACAGAGGGAAAGAAGAACATACTCACTTGCAGCGAGAAGCAGGCGAATCCGCAGCAAGCCAAGGGGAGAGGCCAAAGCGGAGAGACAGCAACCTGAATGAAACAAGAGTCAACAAAAAACTTATATCATCGGACCGTACGCTAAGAACACGCTTATTTGTCCAGGCTGTAGTCGTCAGCAAAACGCTGGAAACAAAAGAAGAAATCAGATAGACACACAAACAAAACTGCGAAGTGCTCCAGCTGAGATCGCGACGGGCGCTGGCATTACAAAACCAAAAACAATGCACTGAGAAGAGCGCCGGAGATGCGAGAATCAGGTCATGTGTCCTCGTCCGGCGATTGCACGAGGTTGGACAACAGTTTTCGCACAGTGTCGAGGCCCTGGGGGCCCCTGCCTTCTTTTCCTCCCCCTCCTGCAGGTCCTGCATCCCCACAGACCAGCGCACTGATATGATCATGATGGCGATTGTGATGATCATCAATGCATGCAGGCATGCTGTTGATAACGATGACGATGATGACGATAACGAGCACGATGATGACGATGATGACGATGATGACGATGAGGATGACAATGATAATGGTGACGAGGATGACGGCTACGGATGCGATGATAGTGATAGGCCCCATGGCCCCCAATGGGACTTATCCCGGATGGCCGCCAATGGAAAATGGTCTTCCTTTTCCCTCCCAGCTGTAGCGCGCCAGGTGCCCCTGCCCGATTTGTCTTTGTTATTCGGGCTCCCCCTTCCATGGCCATGGGCCGTGCGCTCTCTTGTCTCTCTTGTCTCTCTTAACCTCTTTCTTAATCCGGCCATGGGCCGTGCGCTCTCGTGTCTCCTTCTTTTCCCCCGCCGTCGTGGTGTTGGCAGTCGTCTTGGTGGTCGTGGTCTTCGTGGCCCATCCACCCGCCCAGTTCCGCTGCTGTTGCTGCTGCTGCTCCACATCCTCATGATCATCCGTTTCCTGCTCCCGCAGATTCTCCTCCGCCATCCTCCTCCTCCTCCTCCTCCTCCTCCTCCTCCTCCTCCTCCTCCTCCTCCTCCTCCTCCTCCCATCGTCCTCAGTGCCGCCTCCTCCTCCTCCCTATCCCCCCACTGGCCCTCCCTGCGCCCGTCCGGGCCCCTGCCCCGCCTGTCTCTGCCTCGCTGGGCTCGCGCCCGACGCGCTGACGGCCCCTATCGCGGCCTTGACGGAAACCGCGCGGCGGCAGGGGAGAGAGCGAGAGACAGAGAGAGAACAAAGAGAGAGAGAGAGACGGGGGAGAAAAGAGAGAGAGAGAGAGAGAAAACAAAAAAAAAGAGAGAGAGAGAGAGAGGAGAGAGAGAGAGAGAGAAAGAGAGAAAGAGAGAGAGAGAGACAGAGAGACAGAGAGACAGAGAGAGGGGGAGAGAGAGAGAGAGAGAAAGACTCTAGGACGGACCAAAGGGCTCCAGGACGGCCTAAGAGGGCCTCCAGCAGAGACTCCCCCAGAGAGTTCCGAAACGCCCCCCCGACGGATGCTACAACAGAGGGGTGCGTTGTAGCATCCGTTGGGGCCCTGTTGGGACCCCAACGAAACGGTCCAAAAGAGCTCCGCCAGGGCTCTCCCAGAGGTCCCCAAGAGGCCCCCCCCCCAGAAAGTTCCGAGGCGGCCCCCGGCGAAAAAGCCTCGGCGAGCCGTTTTCGGGCCTCCGGACCTAGGGCCCCAGACCTGGGGCCCCGGACTTGGGGCCCAAACCTGAGCTCCACACCTGAGGTCCGCCGAATCTGGGGCCCAGATCTGAAGTCCGGACGTGAAGTCCGGACCTGAAGTCCAGACCCGGGGCCCAAACCCGAGGCCCGGACCTGAGGTCCAGACGGACCTGGGGCCCGGACCCGAGGTCCGGACCTGAGGTTTGGACCACAGCCTGAGGTCCAGACCTTGGGCCCGGACCCGAGGTTCGGACCTGAGGTCTGGACCTGGGGCCCAAGTCCGGACTGGAAGCCCAGACCTGACGTCCAGACCTGGGGTCGGGACCTGGATTTCAGACCCCCGTGCCCCTCCAGAGCATTGGCCCCGACCCACATGCCCCTCCTGTGACGCATTGCGCGCCAACCATTCGATCACCCGAACCGCGCCGCCTAAAACCGAACCGCCCCGAGGCAAAACCGAACCGGCCCACGCCGAACTGGCGCCGAACCCGAACTGCCACGACCGAGCCGGCCCGCTGCCGAACCGGCCCAATGCTGCTCGGCGCCGTCCGAGTCCCACCTGCAAGGTCAAGCGAAGCCTGCACCCGTCTTCGACGGCACCTCGCTCGCTTTGGGCGTGGTCACGGTGCGTTTCACGGCGTCCGCCATCACAAGTCGGGTCGCGTTCGTGAATGTCACTGTCTTCTCGTTCACGAGCGTGGTCGCAGTGGATTTCGCGGAGGATGAGCACGACGGACATCGTTGGTGGACGTCCGCCTTCGCCCTGCCCCCACGGCGAGGACCATCATAGGCCTGGCCAGCGCGGACCGCCAGGAGGCCTCACACCCCTCGCAGTTTCCGTCATTGGGACTGCGAGGGTCGAGCCACATCCCCACGAACGTGGCACCGCGCGTGCAGCGCCAGGGGCGGCGGCCCGTCTTCGCACCCCACCACCAAGAGGGGGATGCGAAGTCCCTGTAGACGGGGCGGGGTGGGCACGAGTGGGCATCATAGCTGGCTCAAAACCACAAGATGCATCAAAGCTCCTGACATCCCAATTGCCCGCCCATGCGCTGCAGCATGCCCCCCCCCCCCCCCCCTTCAGGACCCGCAGCGGGGGCGGCCACAGCGGGCGCTTGCCGGGCGGCGCACGGGCCTCGAAGAGGAGGTTAGCTGGCGCTCCTAGCGAGAAGCGTTTGGGCCGAGCGGCTGCGACGGACGCAAAAACGCTCGTCGCCGAAGGGGCGAGCGAGGCCTGGCGCTGCACGGCGGCGCGAAGTTCACGCAGCGCGGCGAGGTGCCGCCGCCCTCGCCCTCACACGCTTCGCGGCCCCATAGGGCGCCCCACCTCGGAGCGCCATGGCGCAGTCCGCATGGCGGCGCCGCCTCATTTTGCCTCGCCCCTCGCGCGCTTCACGGCCCCATGGGGAGCTCCACCAAGTTCCCACGGCGACCTACGCACGGCAACGCCGCCCCACTTTGGCACGCCCCTCACGCGTTTTCGCGGCCCCATAGGGACCTCCACCTAAGGCCCCAGTAGCGCAGTTCGCATGGCGGCGCCGCCCCACTTTTTAGTGGGAAAACAAAACTACCTGGCTTTTGACCACCCTCGCTTCCAAGATATACCAAGCGATGCCAAACTACGGCCAATACTGGTCAGGCCGCTCGACTAGGAGGCGCGTGGTATGACTTGGTTTTGCCTGGAAGCGAAAGCGGGGTAGGTAATTCACGCTCTGAATTTTGGCACGCCCCTCGCACGCTTTACGGCGCCATAGGGAACCCCACCGAAGGCCCCAACGGGCGCTCCCGCGCCCGGGAACGGCCCTCCTGGGTAGTCTACGGCCGAACCGACTGCGCGCGAGCGGTCCGCAGCCAAACCTTCTTCCGGCCCTGTGGACCCTCGCCCTGGGCCGCAGGTTGTCCAGCGCGCTGCCATCTCTCGACCGACAGGCGCGATCCTGGACTGCGGCCGCCGCGAGGTCGGGAACGGCAAGAAGGAGGGCGACGACTGGTGGCTGGAGCTCTACGCGTTGCTCTCGTGCAACACCCGCCACGATGAACTCCTGCCCACGCGGGCGCCGCACATCGAGTTTTTCCCGGCGGGGCCGCCGGAGGGCAACCGGAGGCAGCAGGAGCAGGTTGGCGTGCGCGCGAAGCGGCGCAGGAGGGGGGTGAGGGCTCTCGCCAGGGAGCTGGGCTTTACTGCGTTTATCCGCGAGGCTTGACCGAAAAGCGCCCCGCCCGAACCGCGCCTTCTCTCGACTGCCCAACCGCTTGGCCTCGCGCCGCGGACGACCCGCTCGCGTCGCTGGGGCCCTCTCGATGCGACCCGCGCGCGTCGCGGGAACTCCGCGCGGCGCACTGCCCAGCGCCTCGCTCGCCCGTCGTCCCTCTGCCCAGCGGCCGGACCCTTGTCCGCCATCAGCCAGCCAGCTAGCTCGTTGCTCCGCGCAGCGGACGACCCGCGCGCGCAGCTGGGACCTCTTCGGGGCGACCAGCGCGCGTCGCGGGGACTCCGCGCCGCGCTGCGCGCGCTGGGCCTTGGAGCGCAGGGACAAGGAGGGGGAACCAGGAAGGGAAGCGGGCGCGATACTCGCGAGGGGCGCGCCGACATGGCCGTCGCGGCGCGCCTGCGCTGCCATCGGGGTTTCGGGGGGAGCTTCCTGTGGCAGCCACGCTCAATGCCGCGAGGACTCACAGCCAGGCACACCCAAACCGTTCACACTCGTCTACTTTCATACTAGGTGTAGCCATGTTCGCATTCAGGCGAATACCCTCACTCACACGCAAACTCATTCACAATCAGACGCACTCGCGCTGAGACTCACCCGCGCTCTATCTACCGTACTCAGACCGATCGTCTTCGTTATTGTTGTGTACCCCGCCACACATGTCGGCGCGCCCTTCATGCGGTTCGTGGCCCCATAGGGAGCGTCACTGGAGGCGACTTATACATCTGCGATAGTCCCAGCTGCATATGGTTGGGTCCTTCGCCTGGCTCAACTTCCTATGGGGGGTAACGCATGTTACGTGGAGGGGTGGGAAAGGGCGAGGTGACGGTAACGGCGGCCGCCGCGAGTACTAGCAGTAATACTAGTACTAGGACTAGTACGAGTACGAATAGCACTAGTAATGCACATAGTACTAGTAGTACTAGTAGTACTCGTAGACGGAGTAGTACTAGTCGTACCAGTAGTACTAGTAGTACTAGGAGTAGAAATACTAGTAACTCCAGCAGCGTAGTAGTAGTAGTAGTAGTAGTAGTAGTAGTAAACGTAGTAGTAGTAGTAGTAGTAGTCGTAATAGTAGTAGTAGTAGTAGTAGTAGTAGGAGTAGGAGTAGGAGTAGGAGTAGGAGTAGGAGTAGGAGTAGGAGTAGGAGTAGGAGTAGGAGTAGGAGTAGTAGTAGTAGTAGTAGTAGTAGTAGTAGTAGTAGTAGTCGTAGTCGCAGTAGTAGTAGAAGTAGTAGTAGTAGTAGTGCGAGTATTAATACTAGTAGTACTAGTACCAGTAGTAGTAGTAGTAGTAGTAGTAGTAGTAGTAGTACTAGTAGTAGTAGTAGTAGTAGTAGTAGTCGTATTCGTAGTCGTAGTCGTAGTCGTAGTCATAGTCGTAGTAGTAGTAGTAGTAGTAGTAGTAGTCGTAGTAGTAACTATGCTAGTGGCAGTAATAATAGAAACATGCTGTGAGGAATGCTACCGGTGAGAGCCCCAAACAGATATTTGTTTGTGGCTATATGGTAATGGATATATAGGGCTATGGAAACTGAGGCTATGGGGCTATGGGGCTATAGGGCCATAGGGCTATAGGGTTATAAGTCTATAGGACGATAAGGCTATAAGGCTATAGGGCTATAGGATGATAGGGCTACAGGGCTATAAGGCTATAGAGCTGTAGGGCTACACGGCTACATGGCTATAAGGCTAAAAGGGCTAGAGGGTTACTGGGCTATAGGGCTATAGGGCTATTAGGGCCCTGGGGCTAGAAAGGATTTAGGGCTATACGGCTAGTAGGGTTATGAGGCTATAGGGCTATGAAGCTATAGGGCTCTAGGGCTGTAGAGCTATAAAAGTATACGGCTATAAGGCTAGAGGGCTACAACGTTACTGGCCACCCGGGCACCCGGGCACCTCGGGCACAAAGGCAACCGGAAACGGCCACCGAAATCAGATACGTTGGTCACCTAAACATATCAATCCGCTAGGTCCCCTATCAAGGCAAGCTCTAAAACGGGAATGATTGAATTGGCAGTGGTAGTAGTGGAGGTAATAGTGGTAGTAATGGCACAAGCAATACTAATAGTAAGGGTGGTAGTAATGGTAGTAGTGGTAGTAGTAGCGATTATAAGAATAATGGTGGTAGAAGTTGTAGTAGAAGCAGTAGTAGCAGTCGCACTGTCGGTGGTAATAATGATAGTAGTGGTAGTAGCACTCAGAGTATTGGTAGTAGTGGTAGCAGTAGTAGCAGTAGTAGTTGCTGTAGTAGTGGTTGTAGTCATCCAATCGTAGTTGTAATCGTAGTGCAGGAAGAAGTAGTGGTAGTAGTACTAGTAGTGGTAGTAGTGGTAGTAGTACTAGTAGTAGTACAAGTACCGGTGGTACCGGTAATAGTAGTAGTAGTAGTGATGAGAATACTGCAGAAGTGATAGTAGCGGTAGTAGTAGTGGTAATGGTAGAAGTAGTAGAAATCGCAGCACTGCACCGCGGCGCTCGTGTAGTAGTAGTAGCAGAAGTAGTAGTCGTAGAAAGGTAGTAGTACTACTACGACTACTACTACTACTACTACTACTACTACTACTACTGCTACCACTACTACCACTACTACTATTACTACTACTACTATTACTACTGCTACTACTACGACAACTACTACTACTACCACTACTACTACTACTACTACTACTACGACTACGACTACTACTACTACTACTACTACTACTACTACTATTACTACTACTACTACTACTACTACTACTACTACTACGTACTACTACTACGACTACTACTACTACTACTACTACTACTACTACTACTACTACTACTACTACTACTACTACTACTACTACTACTACTACTACTACTACTACTACTACTACTACTACTACTACTACTACTACTACTACTACTACTGCTATTACTACTACTACTACTACTACTACGACGACGACTACTACTACTACGACTGCGACAATTACTAAACGTACGAGTCGTACTGGTCGCACTACTAGTACTGGAATAATACGACTACAAGTCGTACTAGTAGTAGTCAGACGAATGGTAGTAGTAGTAGTAGTAGTAGTAGTAGTACGTGTAGTAGTAGTGGTGGTGGTGGTAGTAGTAGAAATCACAAGAGTAGTAGTAGCATTAGTATTAGTAGTAGTATGAACAGTAGTAGTAGTAGTAGTAGTAGCAGTAGTAGTGGTAATAATATTATCACTTAGTCGTGGTAACAGTGCCAGTAGTAGTAGTAGTAGTAGTAGTAGCAGTAACAATGATAGTATTAGTAATAGTAGTAGTAGTAGTAGTAGTAGTAGTAGTAGTAGCAGTAGTAGTAGTAGTAGTAGTAGTGGTAGCAGTAGTAGGGGTAGCGGTAGTCGTAGTAGTAGTAGTAGTAGTAGTAGTAGTTGTTGTTGTTGTCGTAGTAGTAGCAGTAGTAATAATAGTAGTAGTAGTAGTAGTAGTAGTAGTAGTAGTAGTAGCAGGAGTAGTAGTAGTAGTAGTAGTAGTAGTAAGAATAGCAGTAGCAGTAGTGATCGGTGTCGTCGAAGTAGTGGTAGAAGTAGTAGTAGCGGTAGTCGTAGTAGTAGTCGTAGTAGAAGTAGTACTAGTAGTAGTAGTCTCAGTAGTAGTAATAAGGGTAATAGTAGTAGTGGTAGTAGTAGGAATAGCAGTAGCAGTAGTAATCGTCGTCGTAGTCGAAGTAGTGGTAATACTCGTCCTACTACTACCCACTACTGGTAATAGTAGTGGTAGTAGTAGTAGTCGTAGTAGTAGTAGTAGTAGTAGTAGCAGTAGTAGTTGAAGTAGCAGTAGTAGTAGTAGTAGTAGAAATAGTGGTAGTAATAGTAGTAGTAGTAGTAGTAGTAGTAGTAGTAGTAGTAGTAGTAGTAGTAGTAGTAGTAGTAGTACCCTGCCAACCCGCCCACCCCAGCCTCCAGCCCTCCGTCACCACCAAGAGGGGGAAAGTGTTTTTAGCCCTCCCGGGGACCGGCA